TTTTTAAATTGAGTTATTTCACTATTATATTGAGTTATAAGCTTTTTTATTTTTATACTAGAAGCCCGATGCACGAAATTCGTGCAAGGGGCTTGACCCTCGCAGCCGTGGTGGCTGCCTCGGCCCTCACAGCCCCAGCTTTGTCCGGAAGGTCGTCCAGAAGGTCATTCGGCTGTCCAGTCTAATTAGCATATTACGCTTTTATTATTATAGATATTCTGGAAACATGTCTATCATGATTTGCAAATATTTTCTCCCATTCTGTGGATTGTATTTTCATTTTCATTGTGGTATCTTTTGTTCATTCAGGTATCCCTGTTACATATATGCTACACATTCTATAGTTGTCCCTCCGTCCTTAGGTGTTTCGTTCTGGTGTTTTGTTTTTTCAATCTTTGCTTTTCTGTTTTCAAGGATCCTGTGGTATGTCCTCTGACTCAGAGATTCTTTCCTTAGCTATGTCTAGTCTTAATAAGCTGCCCAAAAAAGGCATTTTTCATTTCTATTATAGTATTTTAAAAAAATCTCTAACATTTCTCTTTGTTGTTTTTTTCTTATGATTTCCATCTCTTTGCTTACATTGCCCCATCTGTTTTTGCAGACTGTCTACTTTATCCATTAGAATCCATAGGCTCCTCAAAATATTAAAAATAGAACTACCCTAGGACACAGCAGTTCCACTTCTGAGTATTTATTCAAAGAAAACGGAAACAATAACTTTAAATAATATATGCACCCCTATGTTCATTGTTTACAGTAGCCAAGATTGGAAGCAACCAAGTTGTCCATCAATAGAGATATGGATAAAGAATATGTGTGTGTGTGTGTGTGTGTGTGTGTACATTACTCAGCCATAAAAAAAGAATGAAATCTTGCTATTTGTGACAACCTTGATAGAGAGTATTATGTGAAATAAATCAGAGAGAAAATGATAAATACTGTATGATTTCACTTATATAAAAAACAAAAATGAAATAGAAACAAACTCATAGATGCAGAGAACAAACTGATGGTCAGGAGGGGTATTGGGAGGAAAAGGGAAGGGGTATTAAGAAATATAAGATTCCAGTTATAAAGTAAGTCATGGGGACATAATGTATATCATAGGAATAGAGTCAGTAATTCATATAACTATGTACAATGACAAATGATTACTGGACTTATTGTGGTGATCACTTTGTACATGCCCTTGTTGAATCATTATGTTGTACATCTAAATCTAATATAATGTTCTATGTCAACTCATATTAAAAGAAATTTAACAGGAAAGAATCTGCAACATATTAGTCATAGTTGTTTTATGGTCTGATAATTCCAACATCCCTGCAGGTTGGGTTCTGATAATTTCTCTGTCTCTTCATTTGTGATTTTCCTTTTTGTATGCTTTGTAATTTTTTCCTGATCACTGGCCATTATGTACCAGGTAAAAAGAACTTTTGTAGGATAGGCCTTAGTAATATGGTGGTGAGGTGTGGGGGCATGGGAAGCAACCTATACTCTTATGATTAGGTCGTAGTCTTTTAGTGAGCATGTGCTTCTGGATTGTGAACTTTCACAAGAGTTTCAGTATTTTTCTCCCCACTTAGGGGGACAGGCTGGAGTTGGGTACTGTATTTCCCTTCCCCCAGGTCATTGAGGTTCTGATTACCCCAGCAGGTTAGGCTCTAGTTAACCAGTTTTCCCGAAGGTCAGGCCTTGTTAAGGACATTTTCCTGGCTGTTTCAAAAGATATAACTCCATTTCTTTTGTATGTGAATATCCAGTTGTCTCATCACAATTTGTTGAAAGGCTTTTTCAAATCCCATTGAATTGTCCTTATACTAGTACCAAACTGTCCTCATCACTGTAGATTTATAGTATGTTTTGAAATAGAAAAGTGTGAATTGCCTAGTTATTTTTAGATTGTTTTGGCTATTCTGGGTCCCATGAATTATTATATAAATTTTAGTACCAGTCTTTCCATTTCTGGAAAGAAGGCAACTGGAATTTCCATAGATCTCTCTTTGCCCCTCCCCTGAGCATTGTAGAGGAGCTCTGTGTGCTTCCCAGGGCATGCTTTTAATAGGTAGCTAGGCATTTGCGAACTCTGCCTTAGCCTTCACTTCCTTCCTGTACAGATCCTCAAGTACAAGCATAGGTGCTAGTTTAGGGTATTCTAATTACTTCTCATGACTTTCTTGAGTATGTGCATATAGCCTGGGCATATATGCACAGCCCCACATTGTCCTGGTCTTCTAGATTCTTAGGAATTTGTCAGAGCTTTTCAAAGCTTTTATGGACTTCTAATATTCCAGCTTTTCCTATTAAAGTGTTTGTTTTGTCTGTTGTTTGACCAACCAGGCAAGTGGGTTCTTCTAGGGAACTGCCAGAAAGTTCAAATAATGACAGTTCTTTGGGAGTAAGGCTTTGAAGAAGTTCTAGTTCATTCTGTGGCTGCTGGTCTTCACTTCAAGGGTGAGCTGTTAGTATTAAGGCTATTGTGACTGTGGAGAGCAAGGCAGGGACTAGGGCAAGTTAAAACACCACAGAGTTGCCCTAACCGGTTTGGCTCAGTGGATAGAGCGTCCGCCTGCAGACTGAAGGGGCCCAGGTTCGATTCCGGTCAAGGACATGTACCTTGGTTGCGGGCACATCCCCAGTCGGGGTGTGCAGGAGGCAGCTGATTGATGTTTCTCTCTCATTGATGTTTCTGTCTATCCCTCTCCCTTCCCCTCTGTAAAAAAATCAATAAAATATTTTAAAAAAACAAAAAACAAAAACACACCACAGAGTTGATTCTTACAATTTTTTTTACCATTTTCTAATTGCTTTTATTGAAGAAAGAATTTTTGGGGGTCCTTACCCTACCATTTTCACTAATGTCCTTAGCATATTTAAAACAGTTTTTTAAAAATATATTTTTATTGATTCCAGGGAGGAAGGGAGAGGGAGAGAGAGATAGAAGCATCAATGATGAGGGAATAATTGATTGGCTGCCTCCTGCATGCCCCCCCTCCCCACTGGGGATTGAGCCCGCAACCCGCAACCGGGCATGACCGGGAATCAAACCTGGGATCCCTTCAGTCTGATGTTCTATCTCTTCAGGCTGATGTTCTATCCACTGAGCCAAACCGGCCAGGGCTAAAAAAAATTAGTCTCCCACATGCCCCACACTGGGGATCGACCCCACAACCCAGGCATGTGCCCTGCCTGGGATTTGAACCCAGACTTCCTGGTTCATAGGTCGATGCGCAATCACTGAACACCAGCTGGGCATCATTAGCATATTTTAAAAATATGTATTCTTTATTGATTTTTAGAGATGGAGAGAGAGAAACAAAAATATGAGAGCAGAACATCGATAGGCAGTCTCCTGCATGCCCCCTCCCAGGGATCAAGCCCAATTGTGGGCATGTGTCCTGACTGGGACTCAAATCAGCAACCTTTTGGTGCACGGGATGACACCCAACCAACTGAGCCACAATGGCCAGAGCTGTCTTTAGCTTATTTATTCTTAGCTTGTCCTTTCATTCTTTTCTTCACTCCCTTTTACTGGTATTGTTAGATGAGGCCTTTTCTGGATTTTTTAATGTTTGAAATATGAGATACTACCAAGGATATTCAGTGCAGCAGTATTTACAATACCAAAAGAGTGGAAAAACCCAAGTGTCCCAAAATAAAATCATTTTTTAAAAAATGATTCATCTCTATATCCATATGATGGAACATTATTCAGATACTAACAATCATATATTTGGAGATTATTATATGACAGGAAAATGCTTATGATATAGATGGGGGAAAACAGTATAAAACACAGTATATTGCCCTAGCAGCTTTGGCTCAGTGGTTAAAGCTTTGGCCCTCGAACTCAAGGCTCACTGGTTTGATTCTGGTCAAGGGCAGTTACCTTGGTTGCAGGCTCCATCCCTGGCCCTAGTAGGGGGGCTTGTGTGGGAGGCAACCAATCGATATGTCTCTGTCTCTTTCACAGCAATGTTTTTCTCTCTCTGTCTCTCCCCCTTCCTTTTACTCTCTCTAAAAACAATGGGGAAAAATAAATCCTCCAGTGAGGTTTAACAAAAAATATCCCCAAATACCGTATATTTAAATCTTTGGAAATAAGTTTTGTAAAGAAATAAGCATACGTATGCATCCAAAAACTATTGGAAGGAGCTATTTCAAAATGGTAGTATTTATTATCTGGGTGGTGGTTAAATTATGTGAGTAAAAAACCCCACTTTGTTCTATATATGTACTATAAGGTTATATTAATTAATTTCACTAATGTGACACACCTGTCCATAATACTGTTTTCACTCAGTATGAGTTCAATTAAAAATTACGTAGCTATTGTCTGGCTGGTGTGGCTCAGTAGTTGAGCGTTGACCCCATGAACCAAGAGGTCACTGGTCTGATTCCTGGTCAGGGCACACACCTGGGTTGCAGGCTCAATCCCCGGTAGGGGGCGTGCAGGAGGCAGCCGATTGATAATCCTTTCTCTATCTCTTTATCTCTCTCCTTTTCTCTCTCCAGCAAAAATTATGTAGCTGTTTAGTTTTGTTGATTTGCCATAAACTTTTTTAAAAAATAAATATTTTATTGATTCTTTACAGAGAGGAAGGGAGAGGGATAGAGAGTCAGAAACATCGATGAGAGAGAAACATCGATCAGCTGCCTCCTGCACACTCCCCACTGGGTATGTATCCGCAACCAAGGTACATGCCCCCGATCGAAATCGAACCTGGGACCCCTGAGTCTGCAGGCCGACGCTCTATCCACTGAGCCAAACTGGTCAGGGCTGCCATAAACTCTTAATAAATATTTGAAGAGATGCTATAAGAACATACTAATAATAACCCTGGCATTAGGACTAACAAAACAATATATGAGCTGTTTTAATTCTCAGAGTCTACTCTATGCATAGGAGTTTTGTTTTATTGAGGTGTAATAAGGTGAATTATTAGGCAGATGAATAACCTGTAATCTCATTTATTAGCATTTTGTGTGTTTTTTTCCAGGCGCATATTAAATTTCCTATTGACTACCCATATTCACCACCTACCTTCAGATTCTTGACCAAAATGTGGCACCCCAACATTTATGAGGTAAGAGTCATCTATCATAAATTTCTCTGAAGATTTGTCGTTTTATAATCTCAGTATGCTGTGATAGTAGTTAATGCGATAGCCATACAGGACTATTTATGGTTTCCCACTTAGTTAGCAGTCTTTAGTTTAATTGTTCAAAATTGAGGATAGTTTTATAATACCAGTGTATATTATAGTTAAGATTAAGGCTTTAAACCAGGAGTGGGGAATGTCTGTCCTACGGGCTGTATAAGGCTGCAAAATTATTTGGTCTGGCCCTGTCAAAGCATTAGAGGTGAGTTAATTAAATGTTTGACCAGTTATAGCAGGCTAATTTTTTTTTTAATATATTTTATTGATTTTTTACAGAGAGGAAGGGAGAGGGATAGAAAGTTAGAAACATCAATGAGAGAGAAACATCGATCAGCTGCCTCCTGCACACTCCCCACTGGGGATGTGCCTGCAACCAAGGTACATGCCCTTGACCGGAATCGAACCCAGGACCCTTGAGTCCGCAGGCCGATGCTCTATCCACTAAGCCAAACTGGCCAGGGCAGCAGGCTAATTTTTAAGTTGATAATTTTGTATGGCCCTTGAATGATGTTATATCCAACTGGCCCTTGGCAGAAAAAAGATCCTCCACCCTTGCTTTAAACCTTTGCTGCTAATTGCTAACATTATAATGCATACGTGTTAACATTTGCATTTTTTAAACTTAGTAGAGTCATACAAATGTATTTGTGTACCTGTCCTCTAGCTTCACAGCAAGGGTCACCTGTTGCTATGATCAAGGATTCAGCTTTTTTTTTTTTTAAATATATTTTATTGATTTTTTACAAAGAGGAAGGGAGAGGGATAGAGAGTTAGAAACATCGATGAGAGAGAAACATCGATCAGCTGCCTCCTGCACACTCCCTACTAGGGATGTTCCCGCAACCAAGGTACATGCCCTTGACCGGAATCGAACCTGGGACCCTTGAGTCCGCAAGCTGACGCTCTATCCACTGAGCCAAACCGGTTAGGGCAAGGATTCAGCTTTTTGGGGGGGATTTGTCCTACTGTATTTGGACTGCCCTCCTTTCAGGAGTTGCCACAGAGCAATTGAGAGCCCCTCTTGGAATAAATCCCAGGCAAGGTTCTTTTACTGGACAAGGCCCACATGCCTGGGGAAATCGTTTCTAGTTTTGTGGATGAAATTTACTTAGCTTTGTACTAATCTGTAAGGATGCTAGAATGCTACATGATGTTTCTCAGAATAATATGTGGGGACCGTTCACTCTACCATTCTGTAATTTTTTTCATTGCAGTAGGGCTCTGGAGTTATATCGTTTTATTATAGCTATGACCGAAACATTAAATTTGCTTTTTTAAAAATTTGCAACCTTAGTCCTGTAGTCCCTTTTTGGCCTGGTGAATATTGGGAAGCACTTTTGCTCCAGAAACAGCTATTTAGCCTTTAAAATGCTTGCAGGTAAGAAATGGAGAACTTACTCCAGGATCCTGAATTTGGATTTCAGTCTGCATAAATTAGCACACTGGAATAGCTTTACTGTTTTTCACAACTTGCTTTTTCTGTAAGGCATTATCTTCATTCTTCTTTCCTTCTTAAAACAGGACAAACTGGGTGATATAAAGTCACATTTTTCAAAAATAAAGCTCCTAGAATATTGTTTTCTTTAGTATCTTTAGTATCTGACTTAACCATAATACAGATAAACAGCTGTGAATACCTTATACTATTCTATATAACAAAGTTATCCCGTTGTAGGAGAGAGAATTCTATATAATAAAGAGGTAATATGCAAATTGACTGTCATGCCCTCACACAAGGTGGCTGCCCCCATGTGGTCACAAGATGGCCAGTTTGGGGTGGGGGGGACCAGGCCTGCAGTTGGGGGGAACCAGGCCAGCAGGGAAGGGCAGTTAGGGGTGACCGGGCCGGCAGGGGAGGGCAGTTGGGGGCAATCGGGCTGGCAGGGGAGCAGTTAGGTGTTGATCAGGCTGGCAGGGGAGTGATTAGGGGTGATCAGGCTGGCAGGCAGGCAAGTGGTTGGGAACCAGCAGTCCCAGATTTTGAAAGGGATGTCCGACTGCCAGTTTAGGTCCGATTCCACAGGGACCGGCAGTTGGACATCCCCCGAGGGGTCCCAGACTGGAGAGGGTGCAGGGTGGGCTGAGGGGCACACACACACACACACACACACACACACACACACACATA